AATTTAATGTTTCTCCTTAAAACTCAACAGCTTACCTCAAAATATTGGCAAATGTGCTCTAAAAGAGGGCTCCAATCAATTTAAATTTTAAAATTGTTTCTTTCCCTTCCATCCTTAATACACTAAAAAAAACACATTAAAAGCCTTTTATGAACCTCTAATACAATTTATTTTTCATATTTGAAAATTTGTTTATAAAATATTTATAGCAATAAATGTAGCTCCTGGCCAAACATATGACCTCAACTATACTTTGCATTCATTCTTCACAATATAAACTTAAGAGTGTGATGTGGTTAAACAACTAGATTACTATATAAAAGCCATCAGTCTCTGTTACTAGAAAAGCAATGAGAGAACTAGTCCTGATACTCATGGTTCATGCTCTTCTAGGACTGTTTTAGGAATATCATTCAAACAATGCTCAGTTTAACCTTCTAGACGTCTGCAAAACAGATGTAAGACTGTTTGTATGGTTCCAATGACTTGATAAAAAAGCTTCAAATGTGTCTTTACTTTGCATCAAATGCTCTATTACAGTGATATTCATATGGGAATTAAAAGTGGTAATCTGTGATATTCAACCAAACATACCAACTTTACTTGCTCTTTAATCCACTCATTTTCTTCCGAGATATATAGCTGTCAAATAATCAGAACAAATCTTATCACATTTAAACTTCAGAAACTTATTTTGTTTTCTCTATTGCTAAGTTCTCAGAGCATAAACTTTTGGTTCCCAAAAGTAATTTCTGAGTCTTGAGGTGAGCCAATTTTTTTAAGAATAATATGTAAAATGAGGTTGGTTCCTAAACACAGGATTAAGGCAAGAGTTTTTTATTCAATTTATAGATGAGTTATCATTGCACAAGTAATTTACAAAATTATAAATTGCAACCAGGCTGTCATTTTTTAAAAACACGTAAGTTAAGCCCACAAATGGAACTGTATTAGTATACTATGTTATACAAGCATCTACCTACAAATTAACAAAGAACTGTCAATAAATTTTTTAAATTCAACTTTAAGTGCTCCAAAGTTTAGACAGATGTTATCCTACTTTCTCTGAGCAGCTGTTCATTGGACATGTTCCTTATTTATTGATATACTGTGTTCAATGCTAGTGTCACATTTCTTAAACAGGAACTTGGCAACTTCCAAATTCCATGGTAAATATTGACGTATCTCAGCATGTCAATATTTATACTGCCAACACTTTGATGAGTCTCCTCAACAATGGCTGCATCTTATTTCTTAGCAGCCACTTCTGTTCCAATTGAGCAAGGTCTTTCTTTATTCAACAGCATCCTCTCACACAAAGACCAGATTGACTTTCTGGCTTATTTCAACATTTTGGACACTTTTACAGGGTTAGTAAAGTTCAAAGAAACAAGGCACAAATTTAGGAATAGTCGTTTTTGATTACTTAATCCCAAGCCTAATCATCATTTCAACCCCACTGCTGCGGCCAAAAACTGCTGAGGCCTTTTCAAAATTTATAGAGCCAGATTATTTCTTTTTCTGTTAGTCCTAAAGGCTATACAACATTACAAAAAGATTGGTTTACGGACTACAACAATGATGATAATATTCAGGGGACAGTTTAAATTCAGAATGTTTACCATGAAAGGTAGTTCAAGGTCTGGTTCATTATCTACAATTAAACTGTTTTAAATACAAAATTACTTCACCTAATTTTTGTGCCAACTATCAGAAATTATGTTAACAAACTAATTATCTTTAACTCAACCTTAACAACAAATTTCCATGTCATTGTGAGAAAAATCTTCACAATATCTTGAAAATAGACTGGGATTTCCCAACGGCATACAACCAAAAGTTTAACTTAAAACCACTGGCAGTACTGGCATCTAGCAAAAACATGGATGTCTCATGAGCAGTTTGGAATTCCAGCATGGATTTCCCCTTTGAGGCAACAAAAGTCTCAAGGGTGTTCTTCCAAAAAGAGCCCCGTCTCATCAACATTAAAAACTGCTGACTATAATAACCCTCTGTTCATCTATTTCAGCCAATGTCTTAGGAAAAAAAGCACAACTCATGTTCTCATCAGCGCTAGCAGCTTCACAAATGACAAGGAACAAATTGCCCTGGACTATAAAATGCATTAACTACCTCCTACCTAAAAACTATCCTTCTATTAATTTAAGGACAGCCACCTTTTCCTAGAAAACAAGGTATAGCAAATAGACCATCAGTTTTTTGAGATCAAAACTCTACTGCTTCATAGCTGAGTGACTTTGGTCATGCTATTAATGCATTAAAAACATTCACTGACTGCTTCCTATGTACAGGGCTTTGATATCCCCAGAATGAGTTAAGACACATTCCCACCTCTCGAGTGAGATAAAACCCAAAAATACTTTACAAGCTTGTAAAGTGCAGAGGCAGGGTGATACCTCCTCTCAAGAGTTCACTTAAGCCAGCCTGACATTTCAGGGAAGGCTTCCCTGAGCTACACCTGATATGAATCTTAAAAGGTGAAAAGGAAAGATAAGAAAAGGCATTCCATGCAGAAGACCCTGCATGATGAAAAGCTTGGAGGCAAGAAACAGCATAATACCTGGACACGATAAACAATTCAATGTTTCACAATGACTGCCAATCAAGGGTGACTAAAATTCAGATACCCAGTCAAGTTCATTCATTCAACCAAAGCATGTGCACTTCTGTGCATCAGACAGTGCTTTAGAACATGGCATAAGGAAACAAAGCAGATAACAATTCTTTCCTTTTAAAATTTGTATTTTAATAGGAGACCAAAAATGAAAAGCCACATAATAAATATGTAAAATACATAGTAAGGTGATAAGTGCTAGAGTAAAAGGAGAAGACAAGACAGGATAGAGAAAACTGGGAGTACAGAGGCCAGGGGGGGAATAGGGGATAGTTGCAAAGCTGTAATTTTAAATAGGAGGTTGAGGTAGGCTTTATTGAAAAGGTGATATATGAGCACATACATAAAGATCAGCTGTGTGGATATCTGGAAAAAAGCATTCCAAGCAGATGAAGCAGCCAGTGCAAAGGCCCTAAGGCAGAAGTGGGCTTAGTGTATTTAAGAAACAAGGAAGCCAGTGTGGCTGGGACAGAGTGAGGGGAGAGCACACAAAGGCTGAAGTCAAGGAGGTAATAGGAAACCAGATCATGTAGAGTTTTGTAGGACAATGTCAGGATGTCAGCTTTTATCGTGAATCAAATGAGAAGTCATACAGTGTTTTTAAGCAAAGAAGTAATGTTACATTCCCTTCCAATAAACTTTTTATTTTGGAGTAATACCGAATTTACAGGAAAGCTGCAAAGATAACACAGAGTTCCCATATACATCTCACCCAGTTTCCTCTAATATTAACGTCTGGCGTTCAGAAAGACAGGGAATTAAGAATATGAACTTGGGAGGCTTCAGTATACAGATGGTTATTTAAAGTCATTAAGACTTGATGATATAATCAAAAGGAAGTAAAGAGGAAAAGAAGAGAAGCAAAGATTGAGCCCTGGAACACTCAACAATAAGAGATCAGGAAGAACAGAAGGAAGACAGAAGGAACCAATGAGGTAGAAGGAAAACCAAGAGAGTGTGATGTCCTGGAAATGAAGAAAATACATCATGAAGAAGGAAGTGATTAACTGCACCAAAGGTTGCTGATAGCTCAAACAGGAAAAAGACGGAATAATCAACACCTGGAGACCACTGGTGACACTAAGAAGAGGATTTTGGGGAAGGGTGGGAGCAAAACCATGCTGGAATGATCTCAAGAAAGAATAGAAAAAGAAGAATTGGGATTTGGAACATAAAATCCTTAGAGGATTTTTGTTCAGAAGAGGAATAAATGGGGTTAGAAGTGGAAAGAGGTTAAGAGAAGCAGTTCTTAAAGTAAAAGAAATAACATGAAGGTCAAAAATGGGTCTTAATCTAAGAGCCACGGGGAAAGAATATAAAAAACAGGGGGGAGGGGAGAAGGACAAAGACAAACACTAGAACACAAAGAGCCTTAATCTTAAACTACGGAGGCTAGTTTAGGATTAGAGAAAACAAGCAATTAAATAAAACCACTACCTTTTAATGTATGTGTGACCATCAGTGAATAAAAAAAAAAGGAAATCATACGAAAGGAAACTCTTAACGTTATCAACACTAGATACAAAGTGAAAGGGGGTGGGGGATGAGGGAGGCTGACTAGTGGTAAAAAAGCGATACCACTTCAATTCAAAAACCTTATATTGAGTTCCCAAGAACTATGCGAACTGAACACGTCAAAACACCTGTTTCTCCACTTATATTATGCAAAGACAAAATCGGGTGGAAAATAAACCCTCAGCTAATGGGATTATCAAAACTGAAAGAAGCTAAATAATACTACTGATTAAAAGAGAAAGTTGGCATGTAATTCCTCTCGCTGATGGACCACTTCTCTAGAACACCTATGCAACTATTCAACTCAGGAAAGGGCAGTTTCTTTCCATTTGTTACTACAGAAAGTTCATCCCTTACCCTAAAGGGCCTAGTACGCTTCAGGCTCCAGGTGAAACCCATAAACAGTTTACAAAGAGCGAGGGATTGGGAGAGAGAGAAGGCCAGCGTCAGAAAAGTGTCCAACAGCCTACTCAACAAAACCCTCCGGATTCAAGTGTCTTCCTACTTCCACAACCATTACAGGGCACTTCAAAGGCGCTCTGCATTCTAGAGAATCCCTCAGGTGCAAAGGGAGAAACTGAAAAGGGGTGTAGCAGGTGCACACCCTGCACGTAAGTTTAGGGAACCCAGGCGTCCCCCGAGAGTGCAAAAACGGAAGGTCCAGGAGCTTACACACTGAGGGAGATCCGAGCCGGGAAAAATCATGCACTGAGGAGTTCTAAAGGGAAATAATAGGGAACTAAAAAAAAAGGAAAGTAAGAAAGAAAAACAAAACAAGGCCAAACAAAGGACTATTACTATCATTAATTTACTATTACTAAAATACGCAGCTCACGCTTCCGGACCCTACCTCTCAGTTCCTCCACTTCCGGTCTCCTACAAAAGGCCCGCTCCCGCAGACAGACGTTCCGCAGCCAATGAGAGTGTCGTCCACTTCCGCAAGGGCGCCTGACGTCTTTTAGCTCCGCCTTTTCCGGTTGCGAGGAGCCTATCCTCGTGTCCGGGGCGCGCGGCTCGGGAGGAGGTACCCTGACAGGCCCAACCGGACGCGGGGAGGGAGCGAGAAGGGCAGGCGGGGCGTGCACGCCTCTTCCGCCCTGGGCCCGGAAGGGTGATGTGGCTGGGGCTTCGCCGGCCTCACTATGGTAAGAATTGGGGTGGTGGGGTCGCAGCCTGGCTTTGTGAAGGGGCTGTGGGCGCGAGCTAGGGCTGGAGGATTGGGCGGCGGCCCTTGGTGCGCGGGCCAGGGAGAGCTGTCACTAGCTTGATTCGGCCGGGGCTCGGAAGATGCTCAGGCCCGGGAACCATGTGGCCCCTGCACGCCCAGCCAGGGAGAACCAGCGCCCACCGCCCAAGAGAGACCCCGCGGTCGCAGGTCCCAGCGCCTCCCGCACACTCCACCTTTCTGACTTGTTTCGAAGAAGTGCGCTGGTTGGCTTAACCCAATCGTTTATACAGACTCTATGGTCATTGACCCTTGGAGGCGTGGAGCTTCTTGAGTTTGCGCTTGTTATTTCGCGTTCTCTAATGTCTCTGAGGGCCTGGCCCAGGTGTTTCATTGTTGTCGTTAGAAACCCCAAGCTCCACCTCTTAATTTTCATCTATTGAGTTAGTGACCTTTCAGGCTCTTCCTACAATACAAACTAGATTTTAAAACATTGGCGATCTCTGGAGAAGTGGTTTTTCTTCTAGGAATGTACTTAGGGTGGCGTTTGGCCTCGGACCTTCCTTCCTCACACATTTTTACGGTTGTATGTATGATTTTGTGTTATTGCAGATTCTTTGGTAGTTTGGGCCTCTTAGGAAAATTTAAAATGAGTCATGAAAAGTTTTCAAAAGAAATGCCTACGTTTTCAGGCAGAGGAAAAAAAGGTGGAGTCAGCATGGCCGGAGGACAGATAACAGTAGTAGTAATACTGAAATCTCCCAAGATGTGTGAAGCCCTTTTACCTTTGTTATCGTAAATGCCAACCGCCTCTACACCGGGTGAACTTAATGAAACCCACGGGCCAAATGTTGCATTTATGAGCATATTTATGGGGAAAGGATGCATGCCTTTGATTACAGTATCAAAAGCAAACATGACCCCCCAAAAAGCTATTGTGGGGTGAAAGTTACTGAGCTTATGTTTCCAGAGGTTCCTGCAGAACCCCATACAACACTAAACCCTTAGACATTTAATCGAAAACTCATTGTTTCTTGCTTTAGCCCAACTACTTTGATTATAAATGGGGCATAAGTCACAGGGTCTTTCCAGGAGAACTTAAAGAGAAAATGGCAGTCTTTTGACAGGTTATTCCTTCCTTAGCCAAGAATGTACTCCAGCTGCTTTGCCTACCTACCACACGATCGGATGAGTATACTTGGTCTTAAAGAGTGTCAGAGAACTATTATTTAACTAAGAGAATTTGATTCCTTTTTCAATTTAAAAAGAATAGAGACTGTTACTCTTTTCTTTTTTTTTTTTTTTTTTTAAGTAATCTCTGTAACAAGAGACATGCTCTAATGACTGAGCCAGCCAGGTGCCCCTAGAAATTGTCACTCTTAAGTCTTGTACTTCTTCCTAGATGCTGAAGTTTAGTTATTCTACTCAGAGTACAAGTCAAAGGTCCATTTTCATCATCTTAGTGTTTTATGAACTAGCTAATAGCAAGACAGATACTGTGTTTAAGATAAACAGTATTTAAACTTTTAAGAACTTCAGAGTGCCTTGTTCTCCCTCTTAGTATCCTTCAAGATTTATCTCAGATTTCATCTCTTCCCAAAAAACCTTCCCTACCCCTTCTATATTCTTCTCCTGGGTCTGCATTTGGGCATCCACAGTCCATGTATATACCTCCAGTGTACCTCCAGCCCTATGGAGGTATATACATGACTGTGGATGCTGGATGCACCTCCAGCACTTACCACAAAAAAAAAACAGCAGTACATTGTTGCATATATTTCTTCCCTCTAGCTGGAGTTTTCTAAAATAGAGACCAGGTCTTCTAATATCTACATCACAATGACAGGTAGAGTTAGTACTCAAATGATTGCACATCTGGGGAACCAGAGTCATGTAAAATACGCTAGGTGTCTTTAAGGACTTCACAGTCCACTGAGGGAGATTATTAAATAAGTAAATTCCACGTTTTTTTTTAAAGATTTTATTTATTTGAGAGAGAATGAGATAGAACATGAGAGGGGGGAGGGTCAGAGGGAGAAGCAGACTCCCTGCTGAGCAGGGAGCCCGATGCGGGACTCGATCCCGGGACTCCAGGATCATGACCCGAGCGGAAGGCAGTCGCATAACCAACTGAGCCACCCAGGTGCTCCTCCACGTGTTTTCTGTTACGATAAAGAGAAACAACGTGTAGTGGATAGAGCTCTGAGAAATGAAGATGGCCAAACAATTCAGTCCAAATTTCTGGGCATCGATAGTTTTTAAAAGCTTCAAGTGATAATTTTTTTTTTTTTTAGATTTTATTTATTATTTGAGAGAGAGAAAGATTGAGAGAATGAGTGGGGGGAGGGGCAGAGGGAGGAGCCCAACAATGTGGGACTCGATTCCAGAACCATGGGATCATGACCTGAGCCAAAGATAGACACTTAACCGACTGAGCCACCCAGGCGCCCAAAAGCTTCAAGTGATTCTTATGAACAGCCAGGCTTCATACCACATTTGACGCCAAATATTGAAAAGTTTTACCCTTTTATCAATCTTTGTTGTTTCCGATTGCATGGTCAGAACACTTTTCTTCATAACAGGATTTGCACTTTGCCCTTTGGAATACTTTTGTCTTATCAAATTATCAACATGTGAAATATTTATTGCTTCATATTTTTTTTTAAGTCTACTGCTTATCATGGTTCTATGTATACTTTCTCCTATTAATACCTTTGATCCCCTTGTTTTATATTTAGATCTCTGGTGTCTATAAAATCGCTCTGCAACTAAGCAACACAAACATAGCAAATACATTATAGATACCATGACAATGAGATGAAAATAAGTGCAAATGACCACCTATGTTGCCAGTGGAGAGCAGAACTGAGGTGCTTCTACTCTGAACTGTACCTTTCCTCGTAGTCATGAAAGTTCTTAATTTTAAGTGGAAAGGTTAAACAGAAAAGGTCTACATAGGGCGCCTGGGTGGCTCATTTGGTTAATCGACTGCCTTCGGCTCAGGTCATGATCCCGGAGTCCTGGGATCGAGTCCCACATCAGGCTCCCGGCTCAGCGGGGAGCCTGCTTCTCCCTCTGACCTTCTCCCCTCTCATGCTCTTTCTCTCTCTCTCTCAAATAAATAAATAAAATCTTTAAAAAAAAAAAAAAAAAGAAAAGGTCTACATTTTTGAAACAGGACCAATGAGATCAAATGGCTATTTAGTCCAGCTCCTCATTTTACAAGTGAAATTAAACTGATAATATAGAGGTGCACATTTATCCAAGGACAAATTAATACACTGGATTATTTCCTAAATAAAGCAAATGTTTAATGGCCACTGGTGTTAAGAGGTTTTTAACATCAAGACATTAAGTAATCCTGGTTTCTTGGTTTCAAATTAAACCAAAATAATCTGCATATGGGGTACAATTTCAGTGCTGCCTTACAGTAAGCAACAAAGGTTGAACTTACGTGCTAATAACACAAAATAAAATGTCAGTATTTCTGTGTGTTAATGGAAATATTAATCACCTGTGGTCACTTATCTTGGGCAAGTGGGGAGAGGTGTGTTTGCACATTTATATACAGGCTTCATTTATCCCTGCATTTCCATGTTTTCCATTTTAAGAGAAAAGAATGGTACATAAAATTTATAAGTAGAAACTAGTTGGAAAATGCTGCCCTGACCTAGATTTGTATGTGATAAAATGCTGACCCACTTTTGCAGTACTGTATAGTTTTTATCACAATTAGGTCAGGAATATCATTTCTGGGTTCTTTTACCTTCTGAGAGGAATAAATGACTAGTTTTGTGTAAAAGCCGTAAGTCTTAAAACAAGTAAAATTGTTACCATTTGGAGTTTTAAAAATTGTAAGTCTTTGGTATTCAATTCTTGTTTTAAAGTGAATTCCAGTTAAACGGAGGAATTAATATGTTAATTCCACATAAGATGCAATCAACATTTGAAGCTCCCATGCAGTGTTATGCATAAAGAAGGCCCTTAATCCACATATTGGTTAAACAGTTTATTTTGATAATGCTAAAAATAAATAAGCTGTAGGGAGCTCAAGTGATCCAGGACTAATGAAGACTGTTGGCTTAGTCTTTTCTGTAGATTAAGTACAGTTAGCAACCAGTCACTGAGCACTCCACAGACAGCTGTTCAACATATTAATATGTATATTTCTGCTGCCTTTCTCATTGTTTCTTTGTGCCTTTATACTGCTGGGATCTTTTTCCCTGTGTTCTCTCTATTCCTAATGTTTTGGATGGTTTCTTAAACTGTTTTTATATATACATCTAAAAACAAAATCTTACGCTGAATTCTTGCCTTTATAACCAAGCTTAATGAATATAGTTTTAACATTCACTTGTGACTGAAAACAAGAAATTGTATCTTCATAGATAAAATGATAAAAATTGAATCTGAAATAAATATTCCTAACTTCAGATTGACTTGAGAATAGAGAGTTTTTGAAAAGATGTGTTAACATCGCAAGTAGTTTTTTGTTTTAGCACTAAGCTTTGCATCAGCAAATCTTCATCTATTCACTGATAAATTATTTCATCTACTGTAGTGGTGGCCGGATGAAAGTCTGAATTATTTTCATTATTTCAGAAGGCCTAACAAATTGTGATTTACTTCAGAATGATTATACAAAGTGACTCATCAAGTTTCTTTCTGGTTTGCATAATTTAATTTAGTATAATAGTACTAATTATTTGAAGCATATCAAAGTCATGAGTAGTAGATAGGTCTGGAATGTGGAGGGATAATAAAAGGG